ATATTACTTAATGTAAGTAATAAAAAGTTGAGCAAAAGTTGATCTTCAGGTATCGCTTGTGACCCATCGTTACAGAACCATCCCTTCCATCCTAACAGTCAATTCAGACAATCAATTAGTTATATATGTAAAGAACAAATAGTTTTATATCATACCTCCTCTACAAACACAAGAGCTGAAGAGAACTCCTCCACTAAAATATTGTTGACATTTGCCGTGAGGGCCGCACTTGGAGTGCAAACACGGCGACGATATTATATCCAATAAAACGGATGTCTTGTTCTCGAGACACTCCATAATTGTGTCGGAGTCTTCATCTGAGTAATAACATCGCGGCGTAAGAGTTATAAACCAATTGCCAGGTCTGGGGAATGGGATTAAAACTGTTTCTAATCCTCGCTTTTCGTGGAATTGTTTGTCAGTAGTGTTGACATCGATTTCATAGAAACAGTCCGAAGCAAAGCCCACTCTCATGTGTTGCAGACAAAGGTTGACCGTATAGTTCTGTTGTGTGGTATTCGTGAGCGGATTGATAGCGAAATCAATGGAAAGAGTTCCGCCGATATCTGACAGAGGAATGATTCCAATCTCAAGAACTGAGCTCCGATTGNGGAAAGAGTTCCGCCGATATCTGACAGAGGAATGATTCCAATCTCAAGAACTGAGCTCCGATTGCTTGGGATGTCGATGAATATGGAGACGCTCTGATTGGGTGACAGAGAGGTGGCGTCCACGTGACTGTACTTAAACTCAAGACTATTTAACGAGTCATAACGCGTAAGACTGATATAGTTTGGAGACAACGTTTTCGGCGGTTCCAGTGGTTCCCTATTCTCCAGAGGTTTAGTTTGATTACTAGTGAAACGACTAGAATATGTTAATGCGGTCATCGGTTTGGGCATCGATTCCAGTGCCTCTTCATTGCGAATTAAGAAACAATTGTCCGTTTGATCGATAGTTAGATTTAGTTTCGCTGAAACCACTTCCAGATAATGGAATGGCTCTATTTGGATGTAAATCCAAGAGCCGGAAGCGATTGAATTCATTTCAACGCTACAATTGAATAACTGATTCTTACAATTAATTCTGTAGTCATTGAGAGTACGGGTGGGCAAAGCCATTGACCGCACAAATACATCCATAGGACAAATGGGTTTGCTTTCTATAGGAACTGGTGATATCTGTGCGCAATCACTAATCACTAATTTGGCACTAAAACAGTTGGCGTTGAGATAAAATTTATAAAAAGTGGTGTGAGTTATGTTTTGT